GATATTCTGTCTTTGATGAATCACAGAATCACACTTTTAATCTTCACTTTAGTTTTAAAAAGATACTAGAAGATTGTATGATATAAACATACAGGAACAGCAAAAATAATGTATACCTGTAAGTAAGGACTCAGATTTGACTCTAAGTATTCTAGAGTCAAATGTGAGGCCATCTGTCCAACAGCTAAAGCAACCGGACAAGGATCCCAAGCACAGCAGCAACTCTACAACAGATTATAGCAAATTATTGCAATGATCTAAACTGCAATCCAACTTTAATGCAGGACTTTGTGAATGCTGTTTTCAAACCTCAGTGACCTGGGCTGTAAGGTTGTCGAGAAGAGACGGTAAAAGTTACTCTACAATATTGTGAGAGACTGATAAACTCAAACAGAAATGTATTACCTCAAGCTATTACTCTTAAAGCTGATTCTACAAGCTTTTGAATCATGGGGTATACTTTTTAACACACTTCTCCTCCATTTTGGCTTCAGTTTTGTTAAGTAAATAATGACACATTGGAATAAGTTCAGCTGAGGCCATAACATTTTGTTATGTCCTGATATATTAGAAACATTAGAACTTAAAAAGGATGTACCTTCTTCCTCTTCTTCTTCTTTCAAATATGGCTTTACTTTTTTTTTTTTTCCTACGGGTGTTGCTGACATTTTTTTAAGAAAGTGTTTTGTAAAAGTCATGTGCTGTCCAATAAATATTTTATATAAACAATTGTTTTAACTAGTTTTGCATAAGAAATTATTTACGATTTACAATATTAATTACATTATCACACCTTCATGATTTTCTTTTTTTTGCATTGTTGTCATAGTATTATGGACAACAGACATTTCATGACACAAAATGTATAAATAGCAACAGAAAACTGCAGCGTCTAGTTTAGTTCCCTCTTTAGAGATAAAAATACACACAGTTTCACAGAATTTGGCCCCTTTCTGAGAAATTGGAGCATATTTGTCACTTTGTGACTTAGTTTAAAATAATTTTTTCACAGGCCAGTTTTTTTCTCAGCACTTACATAAGAATATTTATAAAATTCCTAGCACAGATCAAATAAATAGTATAGGCATAGTATATCCAAACACGGCCATTAAAAAAGCATGAAATATAATGACATAATGGCAACTTTGTAGCTTGAGAGTTATAATCCTGAATGCTCATGAAATGTCTGCATGCTGTTAGTGTTTTTATGGACAAACAAGGGATATGAAAGATTGTCCAAAACTGTAAATGTAATTCCATCTTATTTCAATCTGGTGCATTCCTCCATTAATGTGCCTGTTGTTCTTTAGGTCATATGAACAGGCTGTCTCCATTTTTGCCAGATATATGCGGCTATGACAGAATCCCACTTTTAATCTTCACTTTAGTGAAGATACTATCATATTGTATAACTCAAACATACTGGACAAGGATCCAAGGACAAGGAATCCACATAATGAAGAATTTGTGTATTGGAAAACTGCACCATTTTCCTGGATTTCTACATCAGAGGTGGTAAGTACAGCATTAACATAAGCCATAAAGGACAGTAGATTTTTTTACACAACAATGTTCTCTTTTGTCGTTTTGACATCGGGGCAGTCAGCTTTCCAGCTGCTTCTGCACTCCACACTTGTCTCTCTCCTTATGTCCCAGCGTCACTGAAAAGATGGAAGAACCTGATTACTGAGTGGCAGCAGCTGTCCTGCCAGCCAGACTAGCACTGCCCCTTGAGCCCGCTATACCACCCTCCACTACAGTGGAGCCAGAGACCACACCCCCTCCACAGACATGTTAGTCAGAAATGTACCAGGTTAAAATAAACTTCAAATATCCTTTAACCCTTTAAGACCTACCATAGAACCAAGTCCGCCAGAGCTTACTTTATATTTTTACATGTTGTAGTGCCATTTTTGGGAGCATTTCAAGTTGCTATACATCAATACAACTGTTATAGCCCATATTATAATAATATGTCTGCATTAAGTCCATAGTAACTACATTAATTGCAAAAAAAAGTGCAATAAACTACAAAAAAATTGAAAATCGTTTTTGTTTTTTTTACATATATTTCTACTTGGAGAAATTTAGGGGGCTTATCCCTTAAAACTTTAAATACAAAAAAGTTGCAAAAAATAGTTTACAACAACAGGAAATTTATTTTGAGTGTCTTCATAGTTTTAATTTTGAGATAGAGCAATTTTTATATACTGCAGGAAAAACGAAAAACAATCCTATGATGCAAATTTGCAAAGAAAACAGCATGTGCATCAAAATAAATAAACTATTTCCAGCAGTGCAATTCGAGTTCTAAGCATCCCAGAAACTATTCAGAAAAGCATAAAGTCAAACATGACTTATAAAAACACCAGTATAGGCTTTTAAGGCCTACAAGTAAAAAACTACATTTTCTGCGAAAATGATGTCACTTCCGTTTTCGGGCAGGGAATGGCAGACATGCGATCATTCGTGCTGACATCTTTTTCAATGTGGGAAGTGTTACGAACAGCTGATCAGATCGGCAAAGTGTGTTTCTGGAATATTATGTTTTTGTTGCTGCAAGCGCTTTTTATGCAATTTTTGCAAAGCTATATGTGGAAGGAAACCGTGACCTAGGACAAGCTGATGGCATAAGATGCAGTGTTGGGTAAGTTACTTTAAAAAAGTAATTAGTTACTATTACTAATTACTTAATCAATATTATATTTAAAATACTTATCTAATTACTGTATCTGAAAAGTAACTTAATTACTCAATAAGTAATTTAACTAAATACTTCCCCATAAACCTTGAGTGGACAAACAATAGAAATTAAACTCTCTAAATAATAAATAATTTTTAAAAAAAAATACAAGTCAACATGAAATAGTTTAGCCTTTTTGCTTCCTGAATCATCTTTATTACACTCTATAAAAACAAAACATTCTTTAATAATTACATTTTTTAGTAAGGAATGTAACTTTCTTTAACTAAGAAACACAATTCCAGAATAACAAATATATTTTTCTGCAACATATCTGAATAACAAAAAATCTTAACTTAAGAAATGTTATACATGACATATTTCACGCAGTAAACATTAAAATTTTACATTTTCAAAGCAATGAGTAACATATTCATACATAATGTATGTAATCATGTCATGTGATTCAACGAAGTGAAGTTAACTCTGAACTTTGGTTAACAAACAGAATTCCTCTGAAACTTCCTCAAACCAATGTGCACCATATTTCCTGCATGCTGTATGCACTCATGTTTTCCAAAACATTTTTTGTACTACTTAGCTGTGTTGTTTTTGAAAAAGTTGTTGTATCTCATTAATGTAAGTCTCTCAAAGCGTTCACTTGACAGTCTGTTCCTTCTGGATGTAAGCACAAGATTGCCGAGGCTAAAAAGCCTTTCGACTGGTGCGCTTGATGGTGTGGCTGTGTTGTACCTGGCTAAGAACACCCAGCTCAGACCCAGCAGATTTCAAATATTCCATCACCTCTGTTTCAGCAGAGTAGGTACAGTCGTCCTCCTCAAATGAAAAAAAGTCATCAGTGGAGTTAGCAGGGTTCTTGTGATCTTGAGCAGGTTGTTGGTCTTCAAGAGACAACCCACGGCACTCTGTAGTAAGCATTGCCCTAACCATGTCTTTTTTCTCTTCTTCTCTGATCCAGCGTAACTTAAATTTAAGCAAAGTGACTGCAGCCAGGAGAGCTTCTTTATTGTCCATCATTGAGGAAAAGCGCACCTTGATCGCCTATGAGAAAAAAATACATCAGACACTTCACATAAGAGCATGATAAATAAAACAAAAATTTATTTTAGGGTAAGGCTATATATAGATTACCTTAACAATGATATCAGGGAGGGATGCTGGCAGCTTAAGCTCGTCCTGCAGTGCCAGTGTCCTGGACATTAGAATCTCCAGAGTTGGAAGAAGGATTCCAAAATAGCAGTTCTCTTCTCCTTGCAATATGTCTAGTGCAACAGTGAGTGGCTTCAACACGATACAATACTCCTTTAGGAACAGATACTTCCGATCAGTGAAGACAGTATTTATTTCAGCGAGGGGAATGTCAGTGATCCTGGACAGAGTGTTGTGAAATGAATTCCATCGTGTTGAAACAGGTACTATGAGTTTTTTCTTGAAAAAATTATCTACCAACTCTGAAGCAACAGAAGAACGGTTTGCTTTTGTCCACATTGCAGAACACTTTGAAGTTGCACTTCTGTAGATGAATTTTGCCTCATTTGCTTGAAGCCATTTCTCAACATCATGAACAATTAAGTTCAGTGTGTGTGATGCACATCTTAAGTGTGGAGGGAGAGAAAACTGTCCTTCAGATTCTGTGGAGAGGGTCTACTCAACATCAGTAAATGTCACCCCTTCATCTTCTTCCGATTCCTCATCAGAGTCAGATTTTTGGAACATTCTAAAAGCTTTGATAAAATTGGACCCGTTGTCTGTCACAGTGGCTGTCACTTTAGAGTTCAGTCCGACCATAAGCCGAATGTACTTGCTCGATTTCATTGTCGATGACATCATATGTGTGTCTCCCTCGAACTCTTTTACATGCTAGCGCTGCATGTCCTCGTACAAAAGTAGAAGGATCAATCCAGTGTGGCGTCATTCCGAAAAAACTTTTGTTATGGCTGGTCGAAATGTCAGCAGTCGTGGAAATATATTCCAAACTCTCAAATGTCTCTTTAAGCTCCATTTCCATGTCAGCATAACATTTATCTAAGTAAGTAGAAAACGTTTTTCGATCACGCAGTGCTGCTTTTTTGCCACACACAGGTATTTTGTTTAATATGCACCTAAAAGACGGAGACTGAGAGAAAGGGCCTGACCACAGTTCCACTTCCTGTATACAGAGTTGAATTAAAGGACATGGATACACTGACTTCACTGGTTTTAATGTGCTCATTGATCAAGCTTAGGATTTTTTATTATTATGAAACCGCACATGATAAATGTGGCTCTTGATGTAAAACTAACAGATTTCCTTTTAGTAGCTGGATTAGTCACAGAGGGGATAGTTTTCCTCTTTATTTAAAACGATTACATTTAAAGGTGTTTCCTGTTTTGCCTTCATAGCCCATTGGTTCAGCTCTTTGTGTATTTATAGCCCTGTCACTTGTCAGCCCACCCTCTTTACGAAGCTGTTCTCCTGCCTTTCTATTTTCCTACAACATTTCAGCACTTCGTGCTTCATGTCTCATTCCTTGGTCACTTTGCCTCTTGGATTGAATGTTGGATTGGATTATCTACCACAGTCTTTTTTTTCAACAAATCTTCATTTAACTTCAGTAAGTTTTTTTAAGATTTCATTTGTTCTTCATGCCTCTGTGTGGGTCCAAATCTGAATTAAACTACAAATGTATGACAACTAGGGTTGTTATACATTTTACTTGTGCCGTAAAATGTATTTCTCTTTTAATAAAACTGGAAGGTGCAATGAAAATAGGAGGGACTGGTAATAGTCTCAGAATGAGTAATATTTGTCAAAATCGTTTGCAAAAAATTGGCAACAAAGTCTTACCCACGCCTCGTTTCTTTATTATGGTGCTTTTAAGGACAAAGACCTTCTTGTAATTTCATTTTTAAATGGTCTTGAGCAGCAGTTTTTTGTGCTTTCTGAAGGTCTTTAAATGTTCTTCTTTGGACATTAACAGCTTTTTTTTTTACTAATTTTCCTCCCAGTCTTTGTACCCAACCTTTTTTTTTTTTGCTTCTGTTTTATGGTTAACTCACTTAACACTGACCTATGACTCATTCAAGGAAGAAAAAGGCACCTAGCTCTGTCTGCACAAAACAGACAACTGAGCAAAGGACTCATTTTAAATTGGTTCTCTGTTACTAGCTGTTACCAAAAAACACAGTTTGTTCCCATTTTTTTAGTTGAATCAAGGAAAACAGTTTGAGTGGCACAAATGGTATTTTTGCACCAGTAAGCAGACTCCCAAAGAGCTACTAGCTGAATACTTGACACATCTCAGCCGGCTGTGCAGCATGTCTTTAAAAAGTTAGTAAAACTATGTACAGCCTATGAACAGTATCTAAAAGTCATGTCTGTAAGAAACCGAAAAAAGGGTTGATGTGAAGAACCAATTCTTGAGGAAGAGAAAGCGTGAGACTGGCTGACAAATTAAACAAGAACTGAAGAACTGGACTGAAAATCAGTTGCTACAGGCCTTATGAAATGATGACTGCAGATTTAAAAAATGTGGTTCACATTGTCAGTATGTACAGAGGAGGTCAGGAGAGATACAACAATGAGTGTCTATAGCCATCTGTAAAACAGAGTAAAGGTTCTGTTATGATTTGGGTACCTCAAGAATTTGATCCGTCCTGTAGTACCATACAGAAACATTTTATTTGCAACATTTCATTTTTCAGCATGACAGTGATCCAAAATCCACTGCCAGTGGAGTAAAGCAGTAAAGCAGAATAGAAAAAAAACACAGAGTGGAACAGTACAGTCATGCACTGGCCTTTCCAGAGCCTCAAAATTGTTTCTGAAGGCTACTTACATAAGTTATAAAAAAGCTTGCCTAAAAGAGTTTGGCCTGTGTTGAAGTATAAATGTGGTGTGACCAAACATCAACGTTCTATAATTAGGTGCACCTAGTTCCATTTTTCTGGTTAAATATAAAGAACTGAGGAGTGACTCAAGACTGCACACTGCATCATAAGATACAGTGGCTTGCAAAAGTATTCGGCCCCCTTGAACTTTCCCACATTTTGTCACATTACA